CTCAATCTCTTGACCTCGTGATCCACCCGCCTCAGCCTCCCAAAGTGCTGGGATTACAAGCATGAGCCACCGCGCTCGGCCGAAACTCCATCTTTTAAAGAAAAAAAAAAATAAAGAAATTTTTTACTATAGCATTTATTACCAAAAAAATAAACAAACTTAAAAAGGCTTGGTGGGAAACTACACCAATGAGTTTTGCAGGTGTCTCGGCACCTGTGCATGATCTTCAGGTCAAGGGCAGCCCCTTAACAAGCGCTGCCTCCAGCAGACAAAACACCGGGAGGACCGGGTGGGCTCCTGCAGACCCAGCACCTGCAGGCGGACGGATCGGTCTTTTCTGCTGACTTCTGGAACCAGGTCCAGACAAGTCCATACTCTGGTTCAGCCAGAGCAAGAGCACTGTGTCCTCTGACAACAATGTCAAATTCTCATTTGTATGCAGTAAATAAGGAATATTTTACCTTTCAGCAAAGGTGTCGAGTTTCCCCAACTCATCAGAGAGGCCAACCAGGGAATCCAAGGTCCCCACCTAGACAGATCATAAAAATGTCAGAGGCTCACAGGTTTCTGGCAAAGCATGATGCCATCTCAACAACAGAGCTAGCTTCACCTTGAACTAGCCGCCTTTGGTCAATGGCCAAAGTGCAAAATAGAAAGAACTCTTAATAGAAACCAGTGGATTTGGGGGTGTATTTCTTTATTTTTGACCCACAGGATAAACTGTCATATTTCTGCAATAGGAAGGAGCGACTGTGATGCTACCATCTGACCTTAGCTCATTTTCCTCTTAGAATGGCAGCCTACCAGTCAGTCATGTTGTTAATCATTATAGCCAAGGAAGGGATATACCAGAAAGCAAGTTAAAGAAGTTCTCATTCCTAAAAGCTTTTCTGCTCCAAGACAGTCCCACCAGTCTTTTGCTCTGTTCTTTGTTGTTATTAAACATGATCTTGAGGCCGAGGTGTGTGGATCACCTGAGGTCAGGAGTTCCAGACCAGCCTGGCCAACATGGCAAAACCCTGTCTCTACTAAAAATACAAAAATTAGCTGGGCATGCTGGCATGTGCCCATAATTCCAGCTACTCAGGAGTCTGAGGCAGGAGAATCATTTGAATTCAGGAGGTGGAGGTTGCAGTAAACTGAGATGGCACCACTGCACTCCAGCCTGGGAAACAAAGCCGGGAGGGAGGTGCAGGGGGAAGGGGGCGGATATGATCTTGCTGGGGAAGGAGGCAGCAAGATCCTGCCCACTTCATCATTCACCTAGGTCCTTTTTTTTTTTTTTTTTTTGAGACAGAGTTTCGCTCTTGTTGCCTAGGCTGGAGTGCAATAGCGTGATCTTCACTCACTGCAACCTCTGCCTCCTGGGTTCAAGCAATTCTCCTGCCTCAGCCTCCTGAGTAGCTGGGATTACAGGCATGTACCACTATGCTCGACTAATTTTTTTTTTTTTTTAAAGATCGGGTTTCACCATGTTGGTCAGGCTGGTCTTGAACTCCCGACCTAAGGTGATCCGCCCGTCCTTGGCCTCCAAAGTGCTTGGATTACAGGCGTGAGCCACCACGCCTGGCCAATTTTTTGTATTTTTAGTAGAGACAAAGTTTCTCCTTGTTGGTCAGGCTGGTCTTAATTACCAACCTCAAGTGATCCACCCGCCTCAGCCTCCCAAATTGCTGGGATTATAGGCGTGAGCCACCGCACCCGCCCATGATCTGTTTCCACAATTGTATTTGAAGGTCTTTTCACAGAATCAGAAAGGAAAGGGCTGCTATCATGAGATACCACCAACTAGATGTTAAAAAGTAATTAGGTTCTGAGACTTGGCAGAGTTTCAAGGAAAAAAAATTAAGAAAACTAACAGGAGGCCGGGCACAATGGCTCAAACCTATAATCCCAGCACTTTACTGAAACTGTATCTCTACTATAAACACAAAAACTAGCCAGGCGTGGTGGCATGCGCCCATAATCCCAGCTACTTGGGAGGCTGAGGCATGAGAATCACTTGAACCCAGAAGGCAGAGATTGCAGTGAGGCTAAATCGCACCACTGCATTCCACCCTGGGTGACAGAGCAAGACTTCGTCTCAAAAAAAAAAAAAAAAAAATGAATCCTGAGTGTCTACCAAGTTAAGTTGCTTCTTTTCAATTAACTTAATTTTAAGCAACTTCTGCAGGGGCTGTGTCTTTTTTTTTTATCTTTTTACTTTCCAGAGTCCAGCACAGTGCCTCACAGTGTCAATGAGTGGCTGCAGAATTTACTAACCCGTACAGTGTGTGTTGCTGGACAAGGCAGCAAGATATGGGTTCAGAACTCACTGCACCACTTACCAGCCTGACAACCCTGGTAATCACTTAGCCTCTCCCAGCCTGTCCCGAGTCAGCGGGAGAGGTAAAGCTTCCAGGTGATGCATTTAAAGTACCTAGTCGCCAGCACCTTGCTCAACAAATGTTAGCAATGGGGTAGCATCACAACCCTGGTAGCTGATGGTGTAGCCGTTTTGGCAGAGGGGCAAAGTGAGGTTTGAAAGGGGAGTATATGGCAGTTTTCTACAAGAGCAGATGCTGGGCAGTCAGCACCATCTCACCAGCACCTGTGCCATGTGGTCTGAGAGAAGGCCGTAGTGTCTTTCCCCTGGAAACCTACAGCCTCAGGGAGCACCACGAAAACTCCACTCTTCTTGAAGTAAAAGAATTGCGTGGCTGGGCACAGGGGCTCATGCCTGTAATCCCAACACTTTGGGAGGCCAAGGTGGGTGGATCACAAGATCAGGAGTTCGAGACCAGCCTGGGCAACATAGTGAAAGCACATCTCTACTAAAAATACAAAAATTAGCCAGGCATCATTGTGGGCACCTGTAATCCCAGCTATCTGGGAGGCTGAGGCAGGAGAATTACTTGAACCTGGGAGGCGGAGGTTGCAGCAGCAAGCTGAGATTGTGCCATTTCACTCCAGCCTGGGCAACAAAAGCAAAACTCTGTCTCAAAAAAAAAAAAAAAAGAAAAAAGAA